ACTATGGCAAGAAAAGAAAATCTTGGAATATTGCACAGACATACTTGACTATGGCAAGAAAAGAAAATCTTGGAATATTGCACAGACATACTTGACTATGGCAAGAAAAGAAAATCTTGGAATATTGCACAGACATACTTGGCTACAACAAGAAAAGAAGATCTTGGAATATTGCACAGACATACTTGGCTACAACAAGAACAAAGCAGCAGCGATTACGTTGTATTCTCACCTTCTCTTCGATGTTAGAAATGTTCCTCGCATTACCAAACAATTGACAATAACACAGCTCGACTTTCTTCTGGAATTGTTAGATTTAGTAAGGTTTTGCGGTACTCGCAACTGCATAAGGTCATATGAGCGCCAAGGGGTGGATGTCAACAGAGACGTCCATATGGCTGCTCACCTCGCTAGCCTCAACAGCACAAAGTCTGCTTCGACTATCAAGGCACCCCGGAAATAGCAGTTAACAAAAGAGTGACAAACATACAAAAAAGTAGAGGAAAAAATGACGATAGTAAGGATGAGGAAAGAAAAAGCAGCAGTTCCCCCTATGTTGTTCAGTAAGAGCATGGCATTGACAAATTAGCCCACTTACAATTCTACTGTGCAAAAGAACATCCCTCCTTTGGGAATGGCCTAAAGACACTACAGTCAGTAGCACTGCTCTGGGGGGGTACTGCCATTGACCACAGCGCCTGGGAGGCCACTAACTCACTCACTTTGCACAATTGTCTGAGACTCGGCGTAGCGGCTAGGTGGAAACCCCCGAAATCTGGGCAAGTCCTCTTGTCCTTAAAAGCGATCGACCATATACCTGTAACGTAATGAAAAAGGGAGCATCACTGAGTCTGGTACTGCAAGCATCAGTTGTTTTGTATTCCTTATTTAAAAAACACCCAAACACATCGACGTAATAATGATCATGTAGTGATTTAGTGCACGAAAAAGGAGAATCTCGGTCTGTCTGCTGGGATGTTGTATCTCTCTCACCCCGGGGTTTGCCCTGACAGGCAGGGTCCAAGCAGCCTGATTCTGAACTCTTTGGAAGATCTAGCGGACTTATAATATCGTCGATGTCGCAAGCAAGCAGCTTAAGTACAAATTTTGAGAACTTTCGATATTTATACACTTCCAAAGCTCTTTCAAAGATTCACCTTTCAACATCACCAAAATGGAGTTTAATGCTATAATATAATAGTTAAAACTTACAATTTTTTTGCTTTCCATGACTCCTGATAGAAAAAACACAACAAAGACTATTTATTTTTGTCTCTGATGTAAATAGTACCCAAACGGACTTCAGTGGATTGTTTGTGGCACCGCGGATATGTCCGACCAGCGGAGACCAGAGGCAACTGTCAGCCACATTTGGAACCGTCAAACACAAATATCAGAAACAGGAATTTGCATATTTAGGCCTATTCCACAGTAGGCTTGATGCTGCCAGCCTGTCATACTTTTTACTTTACATTTTTTTTAAACATAGACGTCTAAACAAAACAGAACTGAAAAATATGTAATATGATTATTAATGACGATTTTTTAAAAGTGTTTAAAACTATCCGAAGCAACGCGTCTTCAAGAGTTGCCGAAAGACCACAATGCGTGTCCCCAATAATTGGTTCTATGGTAGAAATTGTGTCAATGGGAGCGTAAAAACACTTACATTACACAAAATGTAGAATAATAATAATAATAATAATATAAAACCAACTCACTCTGCCAAGCTGCTATTTCGGAGTCCGGCCGCTACCTCATCCTGCCAGGAGAGATGAGACATAAGACGACAGGCTATCACCGTGTCCGGTCGACGAGGCTGTGGCTTGGCCCAAACTGTCAAACTGTCAGTCCCAATAAACAGTCAGTCACCACTCAAACAGGTAGATTATCGTCACTATTCAAAGAGGAAAGTTATGGTCTCGTCACCAGTGAAAGGGGTAGGTTATGGTCACGAGTGCACACCGGCGGCACTTTTCTCCCTCCCCGCCCATCCCTCCC